ATATATATATATATATATATATATATGGGGTGGATCCAATGAGACCACTCCTGAAAATGAGTACGTAAGACTGAATCTTAGTCACTCATTTTGTCTAGATCAAGGACTTATGTTAATCAATTAAAATATACATTAATTAAATAATAAAAATAATTATTAGTTGACTCCAGCGTTGACCGTTGACTTCCGGCTAAAATAGTTGACTTCCAGCGTTGACTGTTGACTTTCGGTGTTGACCCATTGACCATTATATGTATTGTGTATGAAGTAAATATGGTGAGGCAAAAGTTAGTGTAAATATGTTGCAAAGTTATTGTAAAAATGTTGCAGAGTTTGTTGTTTTTATTTGCAATGTTAGTTGTCTGTAGTTGCAAGGTTAGTTGTCTTTAGTTGCAATGTTAGTTCTGTCTAATGCAATGTTAGTTTTCTCTAGCTGCAAGGTTAGTTGTCTGTAGTTGCAAAGTTAGTTCTATCTTGCTGTAGGGTTAGTTGTTTTTATTTTCAATGTTTAGTTGTATTCAGTTTGCAAGGTTAGTTGTCTGTAGTTGCAAGGTTAGTTGTCTTTAGTTGCAAGGTTAGTTGTCTTTGGTTATTGTCTTTAGTTGCAAGATTAGTTGTCTTTGGTTGCAAAGTTAGTTGTCTTTGGTTGCAAGGTTAGTTGTCTTTGGTTGCAAGGTTAGTTGTCTTTAGTTGCGAGGTTAGTTCTGTCTAGTTGCAATGTTAGTTTTTTCTAGTTGCAAGGTTAGTTGTCTGTAGTTGCAAAGTTAGTTCTATCATGTTGCAGGGTTAGTTGTTTTTATTTGCAATGTTTAGTTGTATTCAGTTTGTAAGGTTAGTTGTCTGTAGTTGCAAGGTTAGTTGACTTTAATTATTCTTTCATACATGATGCTACTAAGGTCAACGGGTCAACGCCAGAGTTCACGCCGGAAGTCAACAGTCAACGCCGGAGTCAACGGTCAACGTCGAAGTCAACGGTCAATGGTCATAATAATATTTAAATAATTAAAAATAAAGAATTAGATAATAAAAATAAAAAATTATTATTTAAATCAAGATCTAAATCTTGTGGCTAGGAATGAGTCTCACGTCTGCACTTTAAATAATCGGATGCATTGGAACCAATCCCTATATATATATATATGTATATTTATATTTAATATACAATAATTACATTGCAGCTGGTTTCATCCTCTCAATCAAATTCTAACTTAAGTTTCAGAGAGTTTTGCGTGGGAGCTAGGAACTCCGGCACCCTTTTGTAGGTATTTGGCTCAACTCCCAGTCTAATCGGAGGCTGGAGAGGAAGGATTCAATCTCCGAACCAATGGTCATTGTCGGATCGGAGTCACCTGCACAAAACCTTATCAGACCGGAGTCACTTGTGTCATACCTTATCAATATTAACATTATTGATTTTCAAATAAAAAAATCGCCACCCGAACTAAAAAAAAAAAAAATAATAATTAAAAATCGTGCATGTTTCAGTATATCCATCTCCAACAAGTGAAATAATAAAATATACATATTTTTCGTAAAAGGCAGACTAACCATTATGCGGATCGATAGATTCATTTCATTTTTTTTTTTACAAAATTCTGTACTTATACTATAAAATGTTTTTCTTTTGTTTATTCTGTTTTTTGTTAGAATACATCATTTTAACTTGAAAATATGCATATTTATTAAAAGAATATAATTGCCTAACACCGATAGCCTAGTTAAGAGTAGCCTGTTGATAAAATAAATGTTGCTAGTTTATGTCATGAACTAGATGATCAAATAAAAAACAAAATAATATTTTAAATAAGAAGCTCAATTCTTTTCATTTCTAACTTAATTACAAGTTGGAAACTATACTAGCTGCTATGAGTCCTAATTAATTTGGCTCAAATTTTCAAAACACACACACTCAACGTCAAATTTTCAACACACACACACACACACACTCAACATAAATTGGTAGATTTATTCTGAAATTTGTGATAAATACTGTATGATTACAGCCTGATTAAAATAAATAAAGTACATGTCAATTCCTGTAAAAGTAATCTACCAAACTAATGTATATTCTACGTGGCAAGTTAATTATTTTGAGTTTTACTAGTTATTTTTTGGTTAAACAAGAAAAACGTGGTGCTATGGCCTTATTTGTCGTATACGCGGATGACACTTTTTGTTAAAAAAAAAAAAAGAATAAAAAAAGAAAGAAAGAAATGAAAAATACCTTCGATCTGAAGTATATTTTTAATATCCTGTTCTTTTGGTAGCCAAATTGCTTATTAATTAATTAATCTCTTCAGAATATTTGGTTGAGAGGAAAGAAAAATCTAGCTAAGCAAACATACTGCTAGTTAACTATTTTCGGATTATATTTTGTATTTCGTCATATTTAGATCTCATTCTTGAGAAAAAATTTACTACTATTAGAATATTACTTGTGAGTTGTCCCACATCATTCATACATAAAAAATAGACCTCCCTTATAAGATTATGAGTTATTCCTTCTTCCACCAATTGATTTTGGGATGAAATCCCACTTTGAGCTTCATACGAGCTTTCCTCGTTCATAGTGCGCTTCATGTTTAGTGGGACCGCGCTCGTTTTTTTCCCAGTTTCTGTCATGGTATCCGAGTCGGTTTTATTGGTGACCGTACGATGACATATCAGTCACTTAGCCAGTTGGACTTGGGGTTTCGAAGGGCTCACAAATGAGGGGGCGTGTGTGCGATGACGTACCCGTCACCCAAGCCAGTTGGACTTGGGCTTTCGAAAGACTCACAAGTGAGGGGGCGTGTTAGAATATTACTTGTGAGTTGTCACACATCGTTCATACATGGAAAATAGACCCACTTTATAAGACTAATGGACTACTCCTCCTTCCACCAATTGGTTTTGGGATGGAACTCCACTTTGAGCTTCATATGGGCTTTCCCCGTTCATGGTGCGCTTCATGTTTAGTGGGACCGCACCCGTTTTTTCCCCAGTTTCTGTCAATTACGTTCTACTTAATTCGACGGAGAGCTATTAAACAAAAAGTCCTTTTACTTAACGAGCCGAACCAAGCTCCTGTCATTGAGGCTCGAGAATAAAAACATTATTGTAGTTGTCTATAGCTCGATTCGTAAAAACTCTAATCTGACTCGTTAAGACTATAATCCGATTTGTTAATATTGATAAATGAATTAAGTTCCAACTACTTTATTGACCCATTCATTGCTGGATAAAAAATTGAGGCCGAGCTCAAAATATCTTGAGTTTGAGCTTGACTCGGTTCTTTCATACCCCTAGTTAGACGTTGTACTTCATTCGATGTTCACTACTACAATATTCACAAACTTTTCTACTTTGGTCACAGAAAATTATGTTCACATAATATTCTTGTGCATTATTAATTAATTAATTTATGTACAAAAAAAGATGTTGAGATAGGCTTTAGTTATTTTAGTAAGATATCTTTAGTTTGATATGATCTTGATTTGGTAGTAGTTATTTTAGTAATTAAATATTTCATTTGATTTTATCTTGATTTGTTTTTTTATCTCTTACAACCGCTCTATATATTAGATGTAATCTCACTATTACAAGCAATGGAAAATACACATTTTTCTCTCTCTACTCTATGCATTCTCTCTTAGTTTTAGTCAATAGAAAATACACATCTTTCTCTCTCTACACTATGCATTCTCTCTTAGTTTTAGTTTTAGCAAAAGAAATAAGAAGAAAAAGATAAAAGAGCCTAAAAGTGATTGAAACTTATTACGAAAAGTGAACAAATGGGTCGAAGAGAATGAAGTGACCTTTGTTTTTGTACCTTATACAATCTTAGAAGTTTGTGGCTTCAGCCTTCAAATTCATCAATACAATTATAGCTAAAGATCTTACATTTTTCATCAAGTGCAATTATAACCAACTGAAAATTTGAAATGATAGTGCCAGGTTAACAGCATTTGATGCATATACCAGGTTTCACCATTTTCTTTTTTCATCCTTTAATTTGCCCTGCCCCATATTTTTGAATCTCACGAATTTGCTTTTGAAATTGGAACCCCAAAAAGGGCCCAGCCGTCCAATGCCATGTAGATTTGGCACAACAATGGGATGTCATTCTTTAATGTATTTTCAAAACTAATGTAAAATTATTCTGTAGTTTAATTATTTAGAAAATTAAATTTTCTTTCTTTTTACTATATAGATTACGCACTCAGTTTGATATTAAGGCCTCTGGCCTTCTTTCATTGTACCAAAAAAAAAAAGTTAGGCGGATTGTGTTAGTATGATTTTGTGAATATTGTATTTTTGATAAAAATAAGTTTTTATATTTTAAAGATTTGGTGTATATTAAAGAGAGCTTTGCCGCCCTTGTGGTCCTACCCGGCTCGATTCCGGATTAGTCGGTCCCCTAAGGGATTCGAAAACCGGAAGGTTCATTGTACCAAAAAAAAAAAAGATTTGGTGTATATTTTTGCGCTTCTTTTGTATCTATTTATTCAGCCTTTGTGAAACTCTGTTGGTCAAGTTGGACAATAAATCAGTTTTCACATGTTTGACAGATTGAACTTTATTTAAATATTTAACACGTTAAATTCACTAATAACTTGTTTAGTAAAGGTCTTATTCGATTGGTCTGGCCAAAAACAACAGTTCTTGAAAAACTCAATAAAACAACATTTTGAATAGAGAGAAATTATAACATAACACGACAGCATAAGATAAAAAAAAATGGCTACGGATAATTCAGTATTAATATTCATTAATACAATCATTAATCAGCTTATAAGTCAATAGATAGATCTATATTTTAGTATAATTAGATATTTTGTTGATATCTGGCAGCGAATAAAGTAGCGCCCATTCTAAGAATATCCAATGTTTATTCATTCCCTCAATCAGTTATCTAAGTCAGTTTTCGAGTTATCTTGCTACAAAAATTAAATGGTTATCCAATCACAATCTTAAACAGTGTGATGTGTGACATGCCACCTTTGAAAAAGATAATATACTCCCAAGATTTTATATGCTCAAGTAATAATTTCGTGCAAATATAGATATATAGGATAAGATACCTTCAAATATATCTGTTATCAAATCTAAAGTTAACATTCGTATAAATAACTAATGACGTATTTTGATGACACGAAGCCTCTATCTTTAAATTAATCTATTAATTATAAATATTACCAGAAAAATAGGTAATTTTTAGTCGTCTAGTGACTTTTTATTAGAATTTTTATTGTATTTTGATAATTTTACCAACATTATTTTAAATTCTCAAAATTCGCGAAATGTATGGAAGATCATTGTCCTCAAACGTCCCACACGTATCTCGCTTAATTAAAAGATGTCATAGAATTGGGGACTGAACTTATCGCTTAATTAACAACCGACCATGATATGAAAGATTATACAAAATATATGAATCATACATAACAACACGTGTTATTAGTTAATTTTAGTAATTTAATTTATGTTAAAAAATAATTATCTAGTATGAAAAGCCATTAAAAAAAATTGAGTGATCAGTCATCAATGTAACTTTTTTATTTACACCAAGACACTTCTGCAGGTTTAAACATTTATATAATGCAAGTCTATTCATGAACTATCTTCAAACCACCAAAAGTATCCAACTAGTACCTGAGATCGGATAATATCACGTTCATTTTCTAAATAATAAGAATTAACATCTTCCTTGCTCAGGAACAATGGTTTGGCAGCTACCAAGTGCATAGCAATTTCTGATCCAACACGCTGGACTGCATCCAGGGAAACATTCTTATCCTCCACCTCAAGTGATAAAAGTCCAGCAATACGTCCTATACCTGGATTTCGAATTGAAAGCATGAGCCACATTAAAAAATTTCAACATTATCTCATATCCATAAAATGGCACATTTACAAGTTCCTCATGTGTAAGAGAACAAGCATGTAAAAACGTAAACCAGTCCTTTGCAATGGAATATTAAGTTCTTGGTTACCTGGTTGGGGACTAGTATGGAGATATGTAGACAAAACACCATGTGAAGGCGCGGGTAGTGTGATCACACTTCTAAGTTTGACATTCTCTCCCATCATTGCAGCAACCTCTACAATTGCATTCTGTACAGTTCTCTCTCCAGTTAGCTTAGGATGGTCGAAATTCACCTTCAAATCCTGAAAAATAAAAAATGTAAAGGGAACTGTCAAAATTAACCGTAAGGAGGCCAAAAGAACATCTCCATTGTTATCCTGCCAGATCGAAGCACAACTTCAGAAGTTCATGATATTGAGAACTACTCGTGAAACCTTGGAAAATCATGATGGTGGCCGACTCAAAGACAATTATGACAATACAATCGACATTAAACTGGAAAACAATAATATATATTACTGTATAAAAATAAACACTGACCAATCTGTTTCAGGCAAGAATAAGAAAAAGTTACTCACCCACAGGTACTCGGGAGCAACTGAAATATTTATTTGAGCATAGACAGCAGCCACAGAACGTTCAAGCTGCAAAGCAGTCTTTGCCAGAGATAAGGCCTACAGCATTTGCAGTGTGCACAAGGCTAACCTCAGTCCTCCTTTTGTAAATTGTAAGGCCGAACATCACCTACAACTAACTACTAGCTAGATTACACATTCAAAGAACGCAACACAAAATCCAGTAATAATAAAGAGAAATCTGCATTCTAAAGCATCTACACATACAACTACTTTCAACACAGCTTAACAAACATGGTTGTCTTGCCCCTCAGGAGGGATCGTCTGTGCTAGACCTCACGGCAAAAGCCTTCTCGTATCTCAACCTTTCGATCTCACTCTCCAGAAAATCGAGAATCGTGTCTGTCACATGATTCGGAGCACACCCGGCATCCAACATCATCCGCAAAACCTTGTACGCATCCTTAACCCGACCCGCCTTCGCATGCACCTCAATGAGCGTGTTATAAGTAACCACGTCCGGATTTATTCCGCCCGCCTTCATCTGCCCGAACAACTCGTCCGCTTCGTCAACCCGGCCCGCTTTCCCGAGCGCATTAATCAACGTGTTGTACATCACGACATCTAAATACCCTCCCTCATTCGTCAATTTTTCGAGAATGGCACTCGCAAGGTCAGCACGGCCCATTTTCCCCAAGCCTTGGATGATAATGTTGTACGTGGCTATGTCTGCTGGGTTAAGGGTCTCCCCCATGGCATCGAGCACGGCCCAAGCCTCCCTAAAGTAGCCCTTCTTCACGAACGAGCTCATGATCGAGTTGTACGTGTAGCTAACGGGGTCCACCCCCATGGATGTGAAAACCTCAAACAATTTGCAAGCGAGGCTCAACTTCCCTTTGGACAAGAAAATCGATAAATAGGTGTTCACCATGTCGATGTCGAAAGAGTCCTCGCCTTTGGCCATGACTCGTACCCCTCTCGACATTGTGAAACCCTTTACGGGACTTTGATCGCAAGACGTGAATTTATTCGCTAGCATGTCCATGTAAGGAGATGATGACCACTCGTCAATTTCAATATTACCCGGCTGCTCGAAATCTTTGATTTTGCCACCTTCTAATTTTGACAAACTCAAGAAGTCGGCAATATCGTTTGTTGAAGGGAAAATTGGCATGAGGTCCTTATCCTTACTCTGTGGGCTCTTCAGCGAGCCTTCCATTGCCGATTTCCACTTGAGAATAGAAAGGACCAAATTCCCATCCCTTATATGTTTCCGCATAAGCTTCTCGGTCAAATCCCATAGACCTCGCCTGTAAAGCGCAGTTAACAACGAAGTTATCGTGACTAAATCAACCACAAAACCCCTAGCCTCCATTTCCTCCACCAATTTCAATGCTTCCTCGATCTTTCCCTCCCGGCAAACATGCAAAATCACAATACTATATGAGACATTGTCCACGAAATTATTACCTTTTTTCTTTAAATCAGAAAACAAGGTATAAGCAGCCGCAGGCCTCCCGTTTTTTAACAGCCCGTCTATGAGTATGTTGTACGTCCAGCACGAGGCTCGAACCCCGTCATCATCCACCATTTTCTCAAAAAGATTGCAGGCTTCGTTCAATTTCCTTGACTTTAACAAGCCATCGAGAAGGGAGTTATAAACAACATTCTCTGCACGTACTCCGTTATACTGCATCTCACTAAATATTTGCAGGGCGTCATTAATTCTGTAGGATTTACAACAGCCCTGAATGAGAATTCGGTAAGTATACGAATCGGGTTCGTGACCTGACGAGCTTTTCAGCTCTTCCCACACAGTGAGGGCATCTTTAACCTTACCAAGCGAGCAAAACACGTGTATCAAGCTATTGTACGTGCACAAATCCGGATCGAACGAACCACTTTTCCCCTTCATCTCCTTAAACAGACTCAATGCAATGCTCAAATCACCCCAGCATCCTAGCGTGTGGATGCATATGTTATAACCCCATCTATCAAGCGGGTACAGTTTCGTGGCACGAAGCTTACCGAAAACCTCCATGAATTCGTCTTTCATGCCTGATTTCTTCAAGCTGACGAGCAGCTCGTTACAGGCAATAGCATCGGGAATGACTAAACTGTCCCCAACAGTGGATGAATTCAGAAGCTTGAGAAAAATAGACAAAGCTAACGAAACCTGGTTTTTTCTCACAAGAGCAACTACAATTGGGCCATACGCATCAGGGCTCAAACGCCTCTTATCGATCAATTCCCTCTCGACGTAATCCAATACTTCCAAGGCAGAATCATACTTACCGGACCTGATAAATCCGTCGAGGATCAACTTCAGAGTCGATGAATCCAGCGTTAATCCATCGCGCCTCATTGAGGCAAGCAGCTCGAGGATATCGTTGTAATGGCGGTTGGGCAAAAAGCAGATGGACCTGAACATCTGAGAGTATGTGCCCGTCGAGTGTTTGTAATTATGCCTGAGGGAACACCACCGGAAGAAATCCAGTTTCCTGGAGGCGTCGAGGGAGCCACGGCGGAGGATCTGGAGGACAAGCTCCTCGGAGAGGGGGATCGAGTCGCCATCTCTGTCCAGAGTGTGAATTCCTCCGGGCTTGGACAGGGTTTTGGCTATGGAAGCGACTAGCAAGAGGTCGCCGAGTGAGCTCGCCGGAGATTTTGCGGCAGTTGTGAACCTATATTCCGAGCAGAAAGGTACAATGAGAAAGGCGANCAGAGAGGTTTTAAAATTCATGATCTCTTGCTTTTGGAATTTTTGAGATGTTGGCAAAATAAAAAATTTCATCTTTGGCAATTTGAAAAACTTATAATTCACTTTTCTGCATGAAAAAAATCCAGGCAGCACATGAGATTAATACACAGCAAGTCGTAAAAATCATTTGTGATGAGCACGGCTGGTAATATCCATATTCAAGAATGAGTATATAATGGCAGCAAAACCTCGTTTTTGCATCAGCAAAGCCTTGTTTTTGCATCATCCATGGACCATAACTGGGTACAAAAATAGTTTAGTTATCTTGAACTAATTTATGCGGGAACTTCGCGGCTATATAGATGCAACAAAACCAATTATTCTAGTTCTGATTATGACCCGGAGCAATTTGCAACATGGTAAAGTTTTATAACAAAACATTCACAAAGTTTGTAGTCTCAAAAGTCCAATAAAATACTGATCTTGTCAGGTAAAGAGTTGCTGGAGTCCTTACGCAACCTGAGATACAGGCTCTGTTCCACTAGCTGCTTCAATCCTTCGGAGAAAAAAAGGCAACTAAAAATTAAATTGCACGAGAACCAAAAGCATGCGATAGTTTATAAGATCTTTCAAAAGATTAATGGGAATACTAAAGTGGCAAAACTAATTTAATAAACCAGGAATGCTTCAGGATTTTAGGTTAATAAAGTTAAAAAACTGCAAACGTAAAATAAGTTTTTACCTATGGCCTTCTCCAACTTCTACTCTGAGAAAGTTACCGATTTTCACGGTGGATCCAACTTCCTTGGACAACTTATTCAACAGTGTCTGCAATAATGGGTATAAAATGTTGAAATCGCTCATAAAAAACTGCACAGGGCTACCACAAAACTAATCTGAATCTAGCACAATAGGTACTTATGGGACTCAGTTAAAAAATTCACATTCTGTCTGAACTACCAACTGTTATTTGCAGTTTGACATAAAATAAAAAAGCACTATTCTCACTGGATTTAAAGAATATTGTCTGAGAATGTGGAGATTAACATGAGAGAAATGTGATGTCGACATATGCTCTTCATAAGTATATGCCTTTTCAGATAACAAAATAATGGCAGAGATAAAACCAAAAGTGAGAAAAGTGAACCAATAAAGAGACAACTGGAATAGTAGACCTTAATGTTAATTGTGTCATCTACGATAAACTTTTGCTCCAGAAGAACAACTTCCTCGAAATACTTTCTTAGACGACCTTCAACCATCTTATCTATGGCCATCTGAGACTTCCCTGTACGCTCTGCCTAATAAGAATGGAAAAAAGCAGTTATAGTTGCAGCATAGATATGCGAAAATTTCAACCAAGATGTTTGAAAAAAAAAAGGAATTATAGGATAAACAAAAAAAAAAGGAAAAAAAAAATTGTATCCTGATAAATCAACTATAGCTACTCACCCTCGAGAAAAGCATAGGATTTTCTTGGACAATATTGTTTACAACAACAACAACAACATACCCAGTATATTCCCAACAAATTGGGGTCTGGAGGGTCAGTTGTACGCAGACCTTACCCTTGTAATTATACAAGGAGGCTGTTTCAGTAGCGACCCAAGGTGCATTGCGCCGTTTGATATTTTTTTTTTTTCTAGAAACTTCACTAATAGAAGAAGCACTAGAATTTAATTGAGCCATTTTGATCTAGTCCATTATTAGCACTATGCCAAGAGAATTGTCAACAATGACTCTTCTAGCTCCATTTGCAATGGACAATTGGACAATATTGTTTAATGGAGTAAAATGTAAATGAATTTTAGTAACTAAGCACAGATATGCATATAAGATACCAACAATGTCTATTGTAATTATTGCGAAAAATCCCAAAGATGGAAGAGGAAGTAGCATTAAGATTAGGATTGATGTTTAAGCATCTATAATTCTGGATTCCGCATCTTAAGCAAGTTATTTAATTCGGGTTTGAACAAAGTAATGCACATGGCTTTTGATTTGGAACCCTAATATCAGTAGCTATTGAAGTAGTAGGGTTCATTCTCTAAAGACATGGAAGAAGAACAGCAAAGCCTGATTAGGCAAGAGAAATTCTGATCAGCATTTGCACTTGGGCAGCCTCGCCTGCAGTTACTTTGTTTTCTTCTCGTTCCTTTAAATCAGTTTCACAATTTCTTCCTTTAATTCACCATCAACTCTATCAACCTACAGCTCTGTGGCTAGAGAAATTGTCAAAAATGCCATATTTAAAACTTGAATCTGCCAGTTTCACCAAACCATAAATAGTGTACCAACACAATTGTATTGTTATTGATGTCAAGTTCAGTCAGTACCCATTTTGGAAACATATAAGAATGTATCAAGTTCCCTCAAACAGGATGATGCTCATTGTAGAGACACATAACAAGAAAGAATAAGGAGAATATAAGCAGTTACTAGAGAAAAATGATTATCATGATTTTATGATCTTGGATTAGCTATACTACTTTCTTAATTCAAGACTTGGTTATCTATTACAAATAACAACTTATTGTTATAAGGGCACACATAATTTTGTAATCAATCTAGTTTGGATAACTTTAGCCTGCTTCTTGTTACACTTGCTTGCTTTTAGAATTAACAGAGGAATTGTTCTAAATATCTTCTTCCTTCAGATTATTTACACCAAGACACTTCTGCAGGTTTAAACATTTATATAATGCAAGTCTATTCATGAACTGTCTTCAAACCACCAAAAGTATCCAAGTAGTACCTGGGATCGGATAATATCACGTTCATTTTCTAAATAATAAGAATTAACATCTTCCTTGCTTAGGAACAATGGTTTGGCAGCTACCAAGTGCATAGCAATTTCTGATCCAACACGCTGGACTGCATCCAGGGAAACATTCTTATCCTCCACCTCAAGTGATAAAAGTCCAGCAATACGTCCTATACCTGGATTTCGAATTGAAAGCATGAGCCACATTAAAAAATTTCAACATTATCTCATATCCATAAAATGGCACATTTACAAGTTCCTCATGTGTAAGAGAACAAGCATGTAAAAACGTAAACCAGTCCTTTGCAATGGAATATTAAGTTCTTGGTTACCTGGTTGGGGACTAGTATGGAGATATGTAGACAAAACACCATGTGAAGGCGCGGGTAGTGTGATCACACTTCTAAGTTTGACATTCTCTCCCATCATTGCAGCAACCTCTACAATTGCATTCTGTACAGTTCTCTCTCCAGTTAGCTTAGGATGGTCGAAATTCACCTTCAAATCCTGAAAAATAAAAAATGTAAAGGGAACTGTCAAAATTAACCGTAAGGAGGCCAAAAGAACATCTCCATTGTTATCCTGCCAGATCGAAGCACAACTTCAGAAGTTCATGATATTGAGAACTACTCGTGAAACCTTGGAAAAATCATGATGGTGGCCGACTCAAAGACAATTATGACAATACAATCGACATTAAACTGAGAAACAATAATATATATTACTGTATAAAAATAAACACTGACCAATCTGTTTCAGGCAAGAATAAGAAAAAGTTACTCACCCACAGGTACTCGGGAGCAACTGAAATATTTATTTGAGCATAGACAGCAGCCGCAGAACGTTCAAGCTGCAAAGCAGTCTTTGCCAGAGATAAGGCCTACAGCATTTGCAGTGTGCACAAAAAAGTTATATCAGTAATAATCAAGAAAGAATGCTGACTATTAGAAAAAAAAATCCCCAAGGGTATGATTATTGAATGTCGTTTATGAAAATGGCTACTCAAACAAAAGCTTAAGCTGCTATTGAACACATACAACAACAAAGTAAAACCAGAAAGCTAAAGGCCTAAGGAAGTACCCAATAGCTGGAGAATGAAAGTCAATTGAGCAGAGGAAGAAACTAATTCTCATACTAACCAAATATTGGAAAATGTCATTTCTGGCAACAAAGTCCGTTTCGCAGTTGAGTTCAATCACCACAGCCTTCTCTTCATCCTGAGCCACTGCAACCAATCCCTCGGCCGCAGTTCGAGAAGACTTCTTTGATGCAAGAACAACTCCTTTTTTTCTCAACTCCTTCTGTGCAGCCTCTGCAGTAGGCATCAATTAAAAATCCTCATTAGTATGATTGCAGGCAAGCACAAACTTCAAATGCAGAAATTCAAGGAAAATTGACGTGCACACCAATATCCCAGTGGCAAGCAACAAGAGCAGACTTGACTTCCTTGATTGGCGCACTTGTCCTCTCCCTCAGCTGTTTAATGAGATTCATTTGTTCGGATGCAGAGATTTGAGAAGAGTATGTCCGAATGAAGCAAATCCCGGAATTATTGATTGAACGAGAATAGTTTAAGAAACCAGAAGCATTAATTTCCGAAAACCTAGACACTGAGGAGGAGACTCCCTTGCTCGTTGTATAAGTAGAATAAGCATGGCCACACTTCACAGGACTGCTCAATCTTTTGTATATAATTTCAATGGGTCGCTTCATGCCTCTAGTAAAAGCCATTTCAATATTTAATGCGGGTAACTCTCGTCGGCGCGAGCTGGATGAAGGAGAACGGGCGGGCGTGAAGTGAACAGTGGTGGGGGAGTGAAGAAAGAAAAACCCTCTGCTACTTTACTAATTATATATAATAAATCGGGCCGAGGGTTTGAGGCCCGGATCTGGGCCGGCCCGTTTTGGAAATTGCTTGTATAATTTTGAAAACAAAAGTAAATTTGTACTTTTAACCCCATAAATGTGACGTTGCATTCGCATTTGTAATCGTCAAAATCGTGTTCCCCCATAAATGTGACATTGCATTTGCATTCGTAATCATCAGTCGTGATCCCAAGTTCCAACTAACATAACAGGATCCTTCCATTAAGTATCAAACATTTTAAGTATATTTTCAGCTTACATGGTGCACAAAACAGACACGGTTTATTTATTTCTTTTAGATATGCCTTTTTGTATCTTTCTCACGTATTTTCTTCTTTGTTCATGTATTTCAAGAGGGCCGGCCTTGGCCCAGGGCCCAACTCAAAAAGGGGCACCCATCAATATTTTGTCTTACAATTAAATTGGGCCGCTATCAAAGCCCAATTTCTCATCATTCACAAGTTTCAATTTACTCTGTCACGCAATTAATGCATTACAAATCGCGAATAGGCTATGCTCTTAAAATTCTTATTAAAATGTATTAATTGCTAAAGTAAGACAACCAATATT